GAAACCACTCAAACACATTTTTATTCATCATACCCACGAAACTCCTCTTCACAAGTGATCAAATCATGTCAGGACACACGTCGTCCATCGTGTGCACTGGAACGTCAAAACAGCTTTTTGTCCATGTACACCCAAGAAGCCCATTCTTCATTTCAAAATGTTTCGGTCCAACAAGGTCAAGCATGCAGCCCCACGCCATTGACACCACAATCGCGTTATCTACATTATCAAGTTTCCAACAGTAATTACTCTCCTCAACAAGAATATCCAGACTCAACCATGATGGAGCATGCACTGAAAGATAGCATAACTATTTCTTATCCAGAAGTCGACTCATCAGAGCCATCGTCGTTTTCTTCCCAGTTCCCCACGGCCTATGAGTGTAATCCTAACTTCAACTTTCGGAAAGTTTATGAGAGTCAGTCATCACCTATCTTCACTGGTCAAGATTCTCAGCTAGACTCTTTCGAAGATAACTATGGTCAGCTTTCATCCAACAGAACTCCTTGCTCCCTGTACTCAAGACAAGACATTAGCACCCCTCAACAAGACACGACAGATGACACTTGTGGGGTCATAGCTGCTTTGAAGGAAACCCGGCGAATATTCTCCTAAATCTACAAACGTGGAGACATGTTGGCTTATAATACTCTAAAATTATTCGTCTGTAACATCTACTATTTCGAAAAGAAACAACGCTGTGTTGACAGAATGTTTTGTGCCTTACACTTTCCTCTTTAGAGGGCCAGCTACTGACGTGATCTAAAAATACATGAGTCTGGTATTTGTCTTCCAAAGAATTTGTGATGAAAAGACTAAAAACAGTGACATTGTAAAACCAGAAAGACTAATTCAGCCTCACATACAACAACCAGCTCCATGTTCTTGAACATTTATAATCTTTGATGTTGATCTTTGTAAGTGGTCTTTGCTCAATGAGCTAAATCATGATTGTATCTAAATGACGTCAGTGTCGCTATTTATTAGCTATTTACTGAAAATTTGCCTTCAAATTGCACAACGAAAGCGACTTTCCCATCAATTGGCAGCGAACGTGCTTACCTAGTCAGTGTCTTGAGTAATATCACGTTTTATTTACTTAGAAAACGTATTTGTTCGCCAACTTGAATAGTAAAAAAGTAACCAATTTTCAGCTTTTCCAAGTTTGACTTGAATTACAAGTTACTTTGTGTGTGTGTGTTGTTTTTTTTTTCAAACAAATTTTATTTTATTTGCTTTGATCCTTCGCGTATGTTACGCTGTTTCAACTTGAAACTTTTGTTCCAATCCAAAATATGCTGTTTGATAATTGTTGTGTTTTCTTATTATTATTACAATTGACATTTTTCGCTAAGAGGAATATTAAGAATTATCTTGAAAGTTTGCTGCTGTATTGGGAAAACACGCTCGTATGGACAGTTAACTTTATCAAATTTAATTTTTTTTTTAAATTACATATTTTCAGAATTTATTATATCTATTCAAAAGCACGAGAGAGTTTTTTTCCCTTATTGTTTTTTTCCCTTTTGTTAAACTCTACCTAAATGTGTGAGTTTAACATTGATAAGGTTATATATATATAAGAAATGACATAAGCGTTGTAGGATTAAAACGACATTTTTCTTATTGTAAATCTGACTCTGCCCCCTGGTGGCTCAGCGGTAAGTCTGAGGGTTTATAACGCTAAAAACCTGTCTTTAACACTCGCGGTGGTCATACCACAGATAGCCAATTATGTAGCTTTGTGTTTAAAAAACAAACAAAGAAAACATCTACCCAATTTCAGTTTTATTTTCAAGAATTCCTAACGCTTGCGTTATGTATTATAAATATGAGGGGGAAATTAATAAGTCCGTTTTTGTGTGTGTGTGTGTTTATGTGTGTAAAATTTCATTAAAGTGTCATCACTGAGTCTGTAAGTATTTAAATATTGATAAACGTGTTCTCCTTAGCTTATTTGGTAATTACGAGGAATTCCAATGCAAATGAAAGCAAATTTGCATTAGCATATGATATATATTGCCAGTGAATCAAGGTATGTTAATTATAAACATATAACTCAGTGCTCAGAACCACTTTAAATAAGATGTTTTAAAAGATATAGAATTTATATATATATATAGGGTGTTTTGTCATTTAAGAAATAAAAATTATATTTCTTTAAAAGTTATTCACATCAATTTGTATATCATTTCTAGAGCTTAGATGCATTATAAATTCGAAGACGCCACACAATATTTCATTGAATATCTGGTATTTTTTAAACTTGAAGTGAGGCTCCCAGACACCATGTGTCACGTGTGGAAGTCTTGGTGAGAATTCCAGACACTATCTATCATGTGTGGAAGTCTTGGTGAGGCTGCTAAACACTGCTCTTCACATGTAGAACTTTTGGTGAGACTCCCAAACACTGCTCTTCACGTGTGGGAGTTCTGGTGAGACTCTCAAACACTGTTTTTCACATGTGGAAGTTCTGGTGAAACTACCAGACACTACTCTTCACGTGTGGAAGTTCTGGTGAGACTCTCAAACACTGTTCTTCACATGTGGAAGTTCTGGTGAAACTACCAGACACTACTCTTCACGTGTGGAAGTTCTGGTGAGACTCTCAAACACTGTTCTTCACATGTGGAAGTTCTGGTGAAACTACCAGACACTATTCTTCCTGTGTGGAACTCCTGGTGAGACTATCAGACACTATTCTTCCTGTGTGGAACTCATGATGAAACTACCAGACACTATTCTTCCTGTGTGGAACTCCTGGTGACACTATCAGACACTATCCTTCACGTGTGGAAGTTCTGGCTCTCAAATATAATTTCCCCGTTACTAAGCAACTAAGGTCCGGCATGACCATGTGGTTAGGGCACTCGACTCGTAATCTAACGGTCGCGGGTTCGAATCCCCGTCCCACCAAACATGCTCACCCTTTGAGCCGTGGAGGTGTTATAATGTGACGGTTAATCACACTATTCGTTGGTCAAAGAGTTGGCGGTGGGTGGTGATCACTAGGTCTTACACTGCTAAGTTAGGGACGGCTAGCGCAGATAGCCCTCGTGTAGCTTTGCGCGAAATTCAAAAACAAACAAACAAACTAACTAATCAACTATTATATTGTATATTACATTAAACTTAACGCATTGATTCTTAAAACTGAAAACAGGTTTTGAGAAACTGGATTCCACTAGTGGCTCAGTGATAAATCTGAAGGCTTATTACACTAACGACGGGGTTTAGATACCCGTGTTGGGCACAGCACTGGTAGCCCATTGTGTAGCTTTGCGCTCAACAACAAACAAACAAAATTACTTCTTTTTTTTTTCTTATAAAGCTAAGCCTAATGAAATTACAGCAATGTACGCGTTTAACAGGTCGATCGAAGTGAGTGGACGAAGCAGTTGATAATTTAGTCGTTAGTTATAAATAACAGCGACGAAAATGTCACGACATCTGAACTTTTAACTGCACAGAAGAAAAGTTTGTAATTTTTTTTTAATTCTTGTTGCTAAGACAACACTGACTTTTAATGGAGATAAAGAACAACACTAGTTTGTTCTCAAGAACTAGAACTATATATTATAAGTAAAACGGTCTGTAACACCAGGAAGGTCTAAAACGATTTAAATTATTGGTTAAATGTTTCATCTTTACTTCTTTGAAAAATATAGATAATTCCGAAATGGGAGAACTAAGAACAAAGCTCAACATTTCTGTAAGAGAATAACCTTCATTATCGTGAAGAATAACCCATGTTTATCGTTCTACAGCCTTTACTAAACGGTTGTTAGTTTGTCACCATCACTAGGAATAACCCATGCTGAAGGAGTTTATCGTTCTACAGCCTTTACTAAACGGTTGTTAGTTTGTCACCATCACTAGGAATAACCCATGCTGAAGGAGTTTATCGT